CAATATAACAACAAAGAAATCAATCTAAGAAAACACTACTTACAAATTTATATTTTATACTCGTATTAACCATCTATTGTGCTTATTATACTAAATATTGTAAATATTGTATAGATTGTATAAGTAAAAAAAAATAAAAAAATAAATATTTTATATTAAAAAATCTTAACATAATCTTAAATCTATATAATCTTGTCGTTGGATTTGCCAATTAAAACAATAGTAGTTGTTCATAATGTATTTGTCATTATTCAACAATTTAAAAGATAGTTTTATTTTACCCGTCAAATGTGTTTTACATCCTATTAGCTAATATCTATACATTTTGTTATAACATAATTAAAGTTATATATAATTTATAAGCAACGTTGTTACTAGATCTGTAACCTTAGTTTTAACTCTAGAACTTTTCTAAATTAAAACTCTATTATATTAACTTGTACATAGTTAAATGTCGTAGTACGGATAAATAAATAAAAATGAATTGATTAAAACATGACATTAATATAGTAATATCGTAAATTCTATACTTTCTATTATACTAGTTATTAGGAATTTTTGGCAAACTAAGAATTTCAAAATAAATTATTGAGATATTTAAATACAAAACACATACGTTTGACAAGAATATTATGATATATTCGTTTTAGTACTTGTTTAGCTACTTAGTTGTACTTATTACTTGGCACTACTATTTTTAAAAAATAATTATGAAACTAATTTTTCCGTGTTACCTTAGAGGTAAATCCATGCATGCCTACTAAAAGGATTGAATATTATATTGGTCAAAAAATCGTCTTTAAATAATTAATTTAGCAACAGTAATTAAAAAATAATAGTGAACAACATCTTACATTATATTGCTTTCTTTCGCAATAAATTATAATTACTTTTGAAAGAGTAGCTATTATGAATTATTGACTGTTGTGAACAGAATGAAGATAGCACATAAATCATTAATGAATATAAACAGTTTACAAAATTACTCGAATTGTAAACTCCATTAGACATGGACCAAAAAATGACGGGTAAGCAAACTGTTAATTTATATGTGATTTTAGTGTTAGAAGTGAACACGCGTATTTGTATATAAAGCTATAAAGGTCAAATAATGAAATAAATACTAAGCAATATTATATTATAACTATTTACTAGAGCCAAAACGAACAACGCAGTTTTGTGTCCATGAAATATTAAACTATGTATAAAATAATCGTCATGCTATTAATATAATCCATATTTTAGGCAAAAATAGAATAATGAATGCTAGCACTACTTATTTTACAAGCTTTAAGGGATGTGATTTGGAAAAATTTTCACCAAATAACTAAAACGTTTATCAGTGCCTAACAATAAATTATAATATAATTAATAATGATATACTAAAAGACATAACATACAATTATTAATAGCCAATAGGTGGATGATATTAACATATAATTTAAAAACAACAATTAAATAATGTAAGCAATGATGTTATACATTTGCACAAAGTCTGATTTCCCATGTAAACTTTACTGAAAATTTTACTTTGAGTTAAAACTTAAAAATAATGCAACACGCCAACGCTATATCATTTGTTTATAGAAGAATGAGTAATGACAGTTAAAATAATTTTGAAAAAATGTAGAAGTAGCAAATAAAATCATAAACTAAACGATATATGGCTATTGTAGCTTATGATAAACTTGAAATGTAAATGCATAATAATTATTATTTCGGAAGTACTCATCTTACATAATAACTCGCATATCAACCCATACGAGACGCGACAAGACTGCATCAATAAAATGATAAGTACATTAAGAAATGACTAATAACTATACCTATTCAATGCAAAAGCAAAGGTAATATAAAATTATCATAATATTTCGCAATTCCACCTTTTTTATATAACTAACAATAAAAAAAATATTTTAAAGTATTTTTAAGGATTGTGTTATTTTATATTTTACTCAGATTGTAACACAATAAAAATTAATCTCTGCAATATTATACAATTTAAAAAATACTTTTATTGAAAAATATATTAAATACAAACACATAAAATAATTTATCAATAATTAAATTATATTGGACATTGGTGATTAGAAGCCTTGACTTTTGGACTTATCTATGTGTAATATGAAAATTGATTTCCCAAACAAATTTGAAAAATTTGTTTCAGATTTGTATCAATTGTATACATGGTTACAAAAAAAAATAATACAATAAAATAAATTATAAATATTATTATATTACCTATTTTATTAAAATAATTGTGTACCTAATCATATCCTGTACTCTGTTCGAAAACTATGATCTATCAGTTAAGTAAGTTAAGTACCTAATTATTTAGTATTGTACATTTCGCTTAAGACGGTTTAGAGGCGCACAATTAAATTTTATATACTTCAAGGCGATTTCGGATGGCTATGAGTTATGACTTATGAAATACCATTATTACCTACCTACCTACCTTTAGTAATTAAAATTAAGTTAAAACAGTTTGCAGTCACGTAGAAATCGACAATATCGTTACACCATGTTGATAAGAAATATTATAATATAATACTATTCAATATATTATTTAATATTATGTTGTGTTTTGAATTAATTTTTAATTATAGCTCTTTTTTCTTTGATAACGTTTGTTTTATTATTTTCCCCGCTACTTCCGGAAATAAAATAATATTATTACCTACCTACCTTTTATTATTATTATTATTATTATCGTACGATGTTTGGCTTCGAACACTCGATGCCGTTAATAATCATTAACCACATTATGTATTTACGTATGATGCACGTGTATTATGACTAAACTTCATATCCCTATGCGTATACAACAAGGAGTGTAGGTAAATACGAAATACAAAATAAATCGTAAAATTAAAAGTTGAGCAGACCATATCACGTGATATTAAACCGATGTTGCGTCATTTTTATTATTATTCTACCGCGGTCGGCAGTTGAGGAAGAAATTACGTTGGCTCCGAATTTAGGGTCGTTGTTGTGCCGAGGGTTGAAAGACTGCCGACGAAGGGTTTATTTTGAGTTCACAGCCGTCGTCGTCATTATATTTTGATCAGTACCAACACACGAGTACAGTTGTGTACTCAGTAGACGATACTAAGCCCCTAAGATTTTACCGACTCGGATACCGGCATACCGGTGCACAATGCTGTCGCTGTACAATAGTATGTGAGTAGACGTGCATTATAATACAGTACATTATGCGCTTGGTGCCAACAGAAAAAAGTGCCTATAAAAAAGAAAACCTGTTTTTTGCACATGGAGTTGTGGCTAGTTGTAACCTATACACGCAGCGGTTCACAATATGTTGCCAAGCGATTTGTATTGTAAGGGCAAAAATATTTCTCATGCACGCGCACTTTAACAGTGCACTGATACTTCTAAACACGTGTATACTGTGCATTATATTATTAATGAATTTAGGTTAAACGAAATAAAAATAAAAATAAAAACAATAATTCGAATTCATTAGAATGTTATATCAATTATTTAAAAAAATATATAATAAAAGGTACCTAAAATAATTACATCGATGACGCAGACTCTACACACAATTTACCACGTGACTGTGTGCTGTAATTCGTAACAATACCCATCAAGCAAAGAATAATTTTAAAATTAATATGTTATTAAGTTTAATAAGTTCAGAGAATTTGAATATTTTTTTTTTAAATCAGATTAGTAATTTAGCGTAAACTGATTAATAACAGTGAGTGTTTGAATAAATAATAATACACCGTACATCTATAAAAATAATATGTAGGCTGTATAACCAGTAGATATTATAGAACATTGTGCAATAATATAAGATAAGTTTTTTGTTTAACTGTCTTTGCATCTATTTTACATAGATATATATTTTTTAAATTTTTAAATCATAAATAAATAACCAAACATGTTACAATTATGTTGAAATTACCATCTACGAAAAATAATACATGATGATATATTTAATATTTAGGCATCCAAAATTCACATTAAATCTATAAAAAGGTAAGGGAAATTAGTATCAACCTATAAAAACACAATCTTTGTACATTCACAACCACACGTCATTGGTATGTATGTCGGCAGGTGTAAAAATGGCTGATGAATGAAACGATAGGGGGACGTAGGCAGATATTTTCTTACAATATTGATGTAAAGAATTTTACGATGGCGACGGGTCGATGGTATTTCCCAAAAATGATGTATTATCGACGTATAGATATTACGCTCCGTATAAAATACATCAATACGTACCAAAAATGCATTTAATTTAAATTCAACTTGTCAGATGATAGAAATGTATTTATCTAAATTTTGATTGCGCCCAGTTACACACTAACAAATAATTTGAATAATTTACACATTTACTTCACATATTAAGTACTAAGTATCATAATTTATATACAATAAAATAATAAATGGTAATGATTAATATTTTAAAGGTGATGGTTGAATAAGAATGTACCGAGCATTTGTATAGTAATATGACTAAAGTATAGCTGTGATTTTAAAATAATAAATATGAAAAAGTGTTCACTTTTTAGAAAACACGGAAATCCCATAAGCATATAATAGGTACAGTTATTGATTTTATAATAATTTAAACATACCTAATAATGTACCCGTTATATAACAACCTAAGTACCCAACGTAAAAATATTTTTTATCCGACAATAGTACCATATACTTTATCGTTTAAATAAAAATGAACCCAACGACGTGTTCACATTAAAATCCTATTTTTCCCACCAGATCAAGAAAAATTAATTGAAGTCAGCGTTATGCCATCGTGTTATAATAAAGTAGGGACCGAGTATTGACGCGTTGAATGGGGACCCACGTGGACGTTTTACACACACTCAGTCACCCTACTATTCGCCGGAACATTCGGATTACTATATGGTATGGACAGCAGATGAAACATTTTACCGCGATTTAATAATCAACGTAAATAAAACGAAAATAAGAATCATAATAATATGCAAATAAATCTATACCTGAACGCAGTATTTTCGTTTCTTCGTAGTATTGTTTCTCGATCCCAGTAGAATATTATTTTTATAATACTATTGAGCGTATAATATTTAATATGAAGTGTTATCATATAATACACGAGAGACGGTACATTACAATCGACGTATTAATGAGTGAAAAAATATAAACGAAAAATAAAATTTAACAATACTCACCGGCGGAAATAATATTATCCGAACGGCGACATCGACGAATCGATAATACTTTTACTACGATAATATAATATTACTATTAACTACGATACGACTATCAAAACGAAAATCGATATTATAGAAAAATAAAAATAATATATAATTATAATACTTGAGCGAACGCGATCGCGGGCCGACCGTGACGAGACACCGGCACACGTTCGAATGTGAAATGATTCACATGCGCGCACGATAATATAACATAACCAACGCTGGAAATAGAAACTGAAGCGGCGGCGGCGGTGGCGGCGGCGCCGGCCGTTTCACGCACTTTGGAACCCTTGGTCTTGTACGTATATTGTGTACGATGCGCGCGCAATTGTGCTGCTCCCCGCGGGTGTTTTGAAATGAAAATTCTACCACCGTGATAGTGAAAACCCCATCGATTTTCCGGGGAAATCGCCGGCCACGTGTTCGCTGAACCTTCGCACGTGCGAGCGCTGTATGCGATTTTTCCGGCTGTGTGACATAATGTCGTGGCGCTAATGATATATAGAAATGCGTGTAATTTTTATGTGCGCAAAAAAATATTATTGGACGAGAGCGCCGATTTAATACTACACAGTACATGCCACAAAATATATTATTTTAATGTTACGTAACTCACAAGCGTCAAAGACTCAAAGATATTAAAGAGAAATATACCTAATTCGCACCGATGCATTGATATTTTATACAATATTTAAAAATATTCAAAATCGTCGACCCACAATCCAAAATAAATATTGTACGATCGTCGTCGATAACTATATTTTTATTCATCGAGTGAGACAAGTAAAACGCCTTTGTTCGTAATGCATGTTCTTGTAAAATGAATTTTTACTACGGCACGCATAGATTAAGCTAATAATTACTACGACGTAATAGTAGGTAGGTACTTAGAATATTACAAAATTATAGCACAAAAACAGTGTCGTGTAGTCATTAATCAGATAATACATGTTTTTCAATTAAGATTACTAATATTGTCGTTTTTTGAACGATTTAGTTTTAAATTTAAAGTCTGGAATGAAGCACACACAGGTATCTACGATTTTGACTGTTGTATTTTGTACGATTCATTTTTTTCTTATCTCTTTTTATCGATTATACCGGCAAATGAAGACGAAGGAGGTGGATTTGACATCACCGTGATTTTTTTTTCGATTTTATTCTTTAGAATTCAGATAATGCACTTTTGTCCCAAAATTGTCCCAAAAAAGAACTGGATTATACATAGAAATCGTAGTATATAAACTGAATAAGTGCTGAAGTTCAATATTTATGTAAATACTCAACTTAAAAAATAATAACTTTCAAACTCAAAATCTCACAAGCAATAAAAGAAATGAGTTTTGCATAAAATTAAATAGATTTGGATTTTATTTTATTTGGTTCTCAAAAATACTTCGTTTAGCAGATATTGTTGTTGAATTGTTAAATAGAAGTTCATTGTATACTTGTATAGAAGTTTCACTGTATATACTATATTATGACTATCGATACACATTATTTAATTTATTATCTAACAATGATAAGTATTTGTTTGTTATCGCCCAACCACCACACTCCATAAAAAAATGTATGACTGCGGGTGACCCTCTGTTGTTCTAGGATATTCTATATAATTTAAAGGTGCCATAACAAAACGTTCTAATACAAGTAAATGATATTATTAGGTACCTATATTATATTGTTTACAATTAATTAATAGTTAATAGTTGCATAGTGAATAATTAAAATGTCATAATATTACACCCGTAGATAAATAAACTTCGACTAAATGAGACAATTACATAATTTTAAAGATCAGTATAGGTATCATCATATGGTCTCCCCCGCCAGTGGCCATAATGTCTAGTATTTACTTCAACTTTAAGTCAGCACATTTAAAAATCATAAGAAGTCATGTTTAATACCATTGGCATAATTGGTAAACAAACAAATGTGTAAATATTCGATTTTCTAATTACTGATAAACGACTTGCCATCTGTCGCGGGAATAACTTGCAGGCGATCACACTTAAAATTATAAAAAAAATTTTTTTTCCTCACAGTTAAATCTTTTCACTGCTACACTGTTTATGCTTCACAACTTGTGTATGCTACATAAAGTAAAACATTTTTATTTTTAAATTTTTTTTAATTTAAATTTCAAAAACTATATATGATTTAATTATTTAAGTTTAAAAAAGTACAAGCCATTGTACGGTTACCGGCAAATGATAATATTATAAAATACAGTCATTTCAATAACGCAATAGGTACGCGTCTAGAGCAGTGAATGGTGTAAATGTTTTGGACGTAATAGTACGTCTGGAACAGTGAAACTGTGCAGAAAGGGATAAATAATAAGCGGTAATCTATATCACAGTCGTCTAGTTCACATAATTATATTGAGTCTCCTCCCTGATTTACGGACACCTGCACATTGAATTGTCGATATTAAATAATTCGTATATTGTACACAAGATAAATAGTACGTGTGCGTCGTGTGAACACGCAGTAAATACATCCAGCTGGTACCTAAGTATTCTTTGTTTCAATGAAATCCAATTAAATATAACGAAGAGACAAGGAGACGAGCGACCAAAACAAAACTGTATTTTATACAAATTGGTAGTTGTAGATAAAAAAAATCCCATTATGGAACTGTTGACTAGGAGATGAATCTAGTAAATATCAATTTAGGCAGTATAGTTTTTGTTCCTGCAAATTTTAAAACAAAACTATAATAACTGTACAGACATACTTGGTTATAAATCTTACAGATTACGATGATTATTTATACGAAACTGTCAATACTTTAATTGAGTTTAATCAATTGACCATATAATCATCTATAGAAATAAACATTTAGGAAATTATTTAATCATTAAAAAATTACAGTTTAATAACCAGGTACTTATAAATCTAGTTATATTTAGCGAGGCTTAAAGTAATTTATGTTTAGATAATGTAGCTTATATGCTTACAAATTGATTTAAATTGGCCTCATGTTTCTATTAGACAAATGGTACAGAGGGTCTCTCATCAAATATGATATCATTGACTTTAATCAAAATATTTTATTTAACCTTTAAATCTGATTTAAATGTGCCTATTTTTTTTACTATATGTGGCAATAAATAAATTTAATTTGATCATTTCAAATTCTTTTTATTGTTTTACACACATTGGATATTTATAAATTATAAATAACGAATCAATTCGATAAAGTTAAGTAAGTACTTCTAGGATATGTATACATAGTATATACTATACCTATAATGTAAAAAATGAAATTAACATATTTTAGTATTTTAGTTTAAAAAATATTACTTGACTGCATATTATCGTTTCATAGCATTTTAAAAGATGCAGATGTCAATTTCATCAATTTTTGTTATACTAAGAAGACGCCACACTTCAACACCTTAATTTGTTGTCTCCGTCTTACACGTGCGTAACATTGCAAATTTAGTCACAGCAGTTCACTTATAGCTTCGTTAGCTTAAAGGGAAATTAACCTGTAATGAAACTTAATGCCGTTAATGGTAATAATTTTTCCTAATTTTAAAATAAAAAAATTGATTCGATAAAATTAAAAGAATTGATAATGGTAACGCTTACCAATATTTATTAAATACCTATATATAATAATAGATAGGTATTAATATTTATTATATTAAGTAAATCATATTATGTGCTTTTAATTTTTATCCAGTAAGCAAACCGTTAATGTTTTCATATTGTTATACCAATTACTAATTAATGATTGATTTAAAAAAGTATAATTATACATTATAATTACAATTTATTTGTAGATTATGATTA